CAATTCCCGGCTCTCCACACAATTCCCGGCTCTCCAGCACCGCCCCGTGTGCACCCGCGGCCAGTGCAGGGCTTTTCCCACCCCCTGATCCCCACATATCCCGCGGGTCGGGGCTCCCTGGTTTTGGTGCCAAACGAACCCGGGGTTCTGCAAAAGGTTCGTGGGAAGGCAAAGCCCTCCCCCCCAGAATCCACCTGCCTGGAAAACCTGCCGGGTTTCAGTTCACAGGAGAAAAACAAACATTTTTTACCGGTGGGAAAGTCAAATCCCTGCCTAAGGAAACTGCTCCCAAGCCCTCTGTTAAAGCTGGAAGCGTTGCCATCACCAGCCTGCTTAATTGCACCACAACTGCTCCCTCTGTTCCCTCATCCACAAAAAAGCACGGATTTATTGGCCAGCCCTGCCAGAAATAGGTACATCTCCGAGCTTTTTGGGGAAAACAGAACTCCTGGGGGTCTGTGGGAAGAGCAGGAAGAGTCCTCAATCCAGCAGCCAGGCGAGGGAAGAGAATCAACATGTTTGTTACAAACAGGTTGGGGTTTTGGGCTCACCCCAAATCCTCCACACGGGAAACCTGCCTGTTTCCAAGTCCCCTAAAATCCTCCCTTTTGGTGGGATCAGTCTAACACTTGAAGGGTTTAACACTGGGATCCTCCTGGCCAAGGAAAACACAAGGGATGACAGACCCTTCCCACCATGGCCACATAACATGCACAGGCAGCAAAAACCAGCTCTCTGAGGGGCTGCAAAATCCCCTAAACGTGGTTTCTCACCCCTCTGTTTGAGCACCACCATCAAGGACTGCTCCAGAGGGCAGGATGGGGCCCTTCCCTGTGGAAATCCCGCTGGAATCCCATCGGGGGGGGGTGTGTTTTAACCTGACCCTGCTCAGCTGGGACCACAGAGGTTGTTTTGGAGCCAACACTGGGGCAGCTCAGGCAGGAGCACATCTGCCCAAGGGCAATTCCCAGCACCAGGGGAGGGTTCCAGAGGGCCAAGGAGGGAGCCAATAAAATGCCAAAAACACCAGCAACAAGCCCAGGGCTGCCTTCCCTGCCAGGGAACGCTGCAAAGTGTCTGTGAGGGCACGAAACCAGACGTGGATGGGACCAAGGGGAGGCATCAACCAGCTGCCAGTGAGCACTGGAGGGAACAACCCTCCCCTGGGGGGCTGGAAAGGACACTCCAAAGGGGGATCTAAAGGCTCTTCCCATTAAAGGGGGATGGAATTCTACCTGCACTTGGTGAGGGCGCTGGAAGGAGCAAGGCAGGAGATGAATGAATGAATGAATGAATGAATTAATTAATTAAGGGTTGTGGATGGAGCCCCCAGGAAACAGAGTTATGGGGAGCAGTGTGAAGGTTCCAGCTGCCCAGTGCAACAGGGAACCGGGCAGGGGTTGCAAACCATGTGTTTATTTTGGGGGAAAAGCAAGTTTTCCTCTCTGTGCCTCGCCACGACCCTGCCTGTCCTTCCCCCCCCTTCCCAAAAGCCACAGAGGGGGGGATAAAAAAAGCAGGGTTCTGCTGTACCTGAAAGCAGGGTTCTCTCTGTTGTTCTGCAGGGCAATTGCCTCCGCCTCGGGCCCCCCGGCTGCCACAAACTTGGCCAGCTTTTCCGCCGAATTCCTCGTCTCCTCGTCCTCTGGGGGTGAAACTTTAAGCAGGCCGTGAGTACTGGGCCCAACTCAACAAGCAACAGTCAAAGCCTACCTGGTTCTAAGGACCCCAAGAGCAGAATAAGGGCAAAAGTGGAGTTTAATCGGGAGAAACGGCAGCACAGAAACAGTTTCACAGCACAAAACAGCACAAACAGCACGGCCCTGGCACCAGGGCAGGGGGCAGGGGACACCCAGGGGACACCCAGGGGACACCCAGGGGACACCCAGGGGATACCCAGGGGACACCCAGGCCACCTTCCAGGGTGGGCACTCGGTCCTCCCTGCTGGGATGCCATTTTTCCC